TATAATATAATATAATATAATATAATATAATATAATATAATATAATATAATATAATGACCCTTTAAGGGCCATTTCCCTAAACCCTCTGACCCTTAATGCTCTGTCTTTTTCCCCCTCAAAGACACCAAGATCTTGACAAGTTCATCAAAGTAAATCCTGATGTCCTCACAAACAACCAAAGGTAATAAAATTTTTAGTGAGTTTTGATCAGGAAGAACATTCTGTTTTATTGTCCTTACGAAAAACAGCTTTACTACTAACCTGCTTTCTTTCTGTTATTGCACTGAAAGGAACAGCGGTCTGGATGACACCATCGCGGGGAGCCGTACAGCGGCCAGAAGTGATCAAAGGTGATGTCACCAAAGCTGCTAACGCACGTTTTTCAGCTGTTTTTCTTATTCGAGATAACTTTTTATTAGTGCTGTATTGATCTTCCAAACTGCCATCACTAACCACACTCTTTCACTATTTTAAACAGCCAAGACTTGGACAATATTATTAAAGTGAAGCCTCCTGCTCTCAGAAACACAAATGGGTAGGTGACCTTACCTAACTGATGTTGATGCAAGGCCCCGGGGGAGGAATTTTCTCTAGTTTTCTTTTGTTTTCAAGGGCCCCATTTGTAACCTGCATGCCTCCTGTCAACACCGAGACATATTGCACTCTTCTTGAACTGGTTGCTTGGTCTGGGGGTTCTAAGCTTCTTATTTGTACCAAGACAACCTAATGTTTGTTCCCTTAAGGAAAAGGAATTTCAAGGCTGAAGTGAAAAATGAATAAAACTAACAAGAAAAATATATATATTTTGAGGAAGCCAAAACGACTTGGAAAGGATATTTAAGGTTGTTCAAAATTCCCGATCCTAGGCTTGTGTGGTCTCGCAAAGCCTCATGGCACATTTTAACCTTGAGCTTACACCCTGAGTTTTGAACCTATTCCGCAATTTTCTATTTTTTAATTAACATAGAATTATGCTACTTTCTCCCTTCTCCTGCCCTCCTTTCCCCCCACCAAGATAACTTTTCTACAAACCTCTCTCATGATCCACAACTGCCAAATTGACAGCTTCTTTTTCTTTAATAGTGCTATGTACACATATGTACAGATATATAAACACAACCTACAAGAGTCCGCTTTTATTGCTTGTGTGTATATAGTTTCAGAGGTGATCACTATGGATAAGTAGAAAGGTAGTTCCTCTCTCAAGGTTAAAATGTGCCATGATGTGAAATTTCTCTGTCTCATACTATCACATCTGTCAATATCACCAGTGTTCTAGTCTTGTTGATGCAGCCATTTCTAAAACAGCAGAATTCCTGGTATCATGACTCTCACAATCTTTCTATAACCTCTTCTATGGAGTTCCATAAGCCACAGACGCAGGAGCTGTGACGCAGATGTGCCAACTGGGGCTAGGCTCCCCACAATCTGCTGATTTCTTCGTTGTGTCTAGTTTTGGTTTACTGTGCTGCTCTCCATTTGCTATAAAGAGAAGCTTCTTTGAGGAGGAGGAGGTAGCTATATTTATCTGTGGGTATAAGGATAAGATTTAGGATGTAGTAAGGAATTACGCTGGTCTACCAGAGTGAGGTAGCAGATTATTTTCTGAAGTCTATGATCACCCTAGCCTCAGGAAGATGTCTAGATTTCTAGTATAAGAAATGACTTTTTTTCCTGTTGAGTGGGCCTTAAATCCAATTATTTGGGTGGAGTTTTCTTGTTAACAGTAGGAGGTTTGGGAGATTACAGTCACGTTAGTAACAGGTCTATCTAATAGCCATGTTATGCAATGTCTGATTAGGGGAACAAGCCCCCCCAAAGCCTGCCTGTCCCCTATCACTGCCAAATGTGTTATATCGGCAATGGTAACTCTTACAGGAGCCCTGCCTTTGATTTTACTGCAAGAGGACATTTTTATAAAATGTAGCTTAATTTTAGCAACTCTTTGTCCAGAAATCCGCAGAAAAAAAGATATTTTTACCTTATTCTTATATGATCACTATTAAAAGGAATTAAAAAAAAACTTTTTTAGACAGCTTGCTCGGCTAAGCTAACTTGCCTGACTCTCCTTTATTACTAGATTTGACGATAAATAGCCAAGAATTAGCTTACAAAGGAGAAACAGAAAAGACAGCTCTTTTAAAAGAGTGAGTTTATGGACTGATTCAAACACCTGTATCTACTGTGTAATCATGCTACCCTCTTGATTTCGGCATAGGGAAAGAAAGAGAATTTTGAAGCAAATCTAAGTAGGATGAGCCATGGCAAAGTGACGAGACAGAGGACCTGCGCTTTTAGTGGCAGCAGAAAATTAGAGTCCTTCTGTGTTGGCTTTGCACACATTTCCAGCAGCTGCATATTTAACTCACAGTTAGAGTCCGAATAAACTACACTCATTTGTCAGAAATATATACAGGCATCCCTGAGACCCTAGGAACACAGCAACCAGAACAAATGCAGGTGGGCAGGGCATTTCCACTTATTCAATGGGAAATAGCGTGGCTCTTAGTGGTAATGGGAACCCACACTAAAGAGAGAGAGAGGTCATCATCTGCGGCCAGTACACTGATGTTAGGTTAATTATTAATGTTCTCAATTTCTGCTTCCGTAAGCTACTGAAGAGTACCTCATATTGCTAGTGATATGCAAGATTTCCTGGTTAAAAAATAAAAGCATCATTCACATAAAGCAAAAAATGTTTTTTTATTTGTGGTCAGAGTTCTACTTTTCCTGTTTGTTGACATATACTTTCCAAGATTTTAGTTCTGTGCCATGAGGAAAGGTTCTGCCTGTCTCCACGCTGCACATTTCTCATATTTATGCTCAAGATATAAACAGGTGTACATTATTCCATTGCATCACTCCATGTAATCAATCAATCTACCAATCACCGCTGTGGATGCTCCTCATAATAACCTCTGGAAGTGGTCCTGTATTTCCATAGTACTGCTGCAGTGATGGTTACTTTCCAGCCTTCTAACCACTTCTGCTGCTGGTCATGACTCTTCATTTCAATCCATCCATCCATCCATCCATCCATCCATCCATCCATCCATCCATCCACTGGGATAAACAGTAATCTTTCTAAAACAGGAATCTCATTATGTCATTCTTCTAAGTATCCTCCTCCAGTGTCTTCCTATTATCATTGAGTCACAGCCACACCCCTTAACCTTGTCTTCAAAAACTACCATAATCTGATATTTCTCCTCAGTTCTGTTACTCTTCTCTCACAAGCAAAATCCTTTCCCATCTCTATCCTCTCTGGCCTGTACTTTCTGTTTCCTCTTATTGCATTGCCAGTAACTGTGTTTCCTTCGGGTCCCAGCCTGGGTATTTATCACGCAGACTCAGGGGCGTTCCTTCCAATCTCTGTATGTACAAGATCACACACATGCGTTTCTTTAGTGAGTTATTATTTAATCATCTCTTTCTATCTATAAAGTCCTTAGAGGTATGGATGGGATTACCGTGTTTCTTCTTTTCCTTATATAGCATAGTAGCATAATCACACAATGTCTGATCCCTGTCAAGTGTTTAACAAACATAATACAAGCTGGGCACAGTGGCACATGCCTGTAATCTCAAAACTCAAGGAGGCAGAGGCAGGTAGATCGCTCTGAGGTCGAGGCCAGGCTGGTTTACAAAGTGAGTCCAGGACAGCCAAGACTACACAGAGAAACCCTGACTCAAAACAAACAAACAAACAAACAAACAAACAAACAAACAAACCAAACCTAAAAACCAAATATAATGTGAATAAAAGACTACATATCAGAGTAATCAATGCTTTATGATAGTCTACATAGGTAAAATGTATTGTATTATATCTCCAATAATCTAAGCCCCCATCACTGAAACTAAATAGAAAAATTATATTTTGTTATGACTGATTTTTTTTTTACTTGAGCTAATAACTGTTTCTTGCTTATGACAATCTCAAGGTATCACAGGGACTCAGGAACACTAAAATTATTAGTTGTGTGTGATATTTAAAATCCTTAAATCACACACGGATCTATTAACTTCTTGAATAAAACATCTTTATGTCTTATAGGTGTATAATACACTAAAGCCTTTGGGATTATCCTGTTTAGATAGAGAAGGCTGCATCTCTGGCAGATTAAAGATCATTTGTATGACTCTGGTTCTCTTCAGGTTACAGCAGATAGAAGTCAAACACAGAAAACGTGCCATAAAAGAGTTATTTTTACTAGACCTGGCTTGCAATAGAACCAGCGAACAAGTGCACAACGAGGTACTAGACCCACAGCCTCCAGTACAGAAGCTGACAGTCCTGGTGCTACGGACTGAACCCACAGCCATGAGCATGCAAGGCAGTCACCTTGCCAATGAGCCGTCTCTCAGCGCTGTAGTTCAGATGGATATAAAACAAAAACAGAAACAAGGCCTCAAAATTCTAGAAACACTTAAGGGATTTTACAACATGAATCAACAAGGAGTCTCCCAGCTCGCAACTTATTCCCTTCCTTGTTTTTGAAATGCTTATTACAAAGATGCTTAAGTTCAGCCACTTTATTAAAGGGGGGGGGGAGAAAAAATACTCAATGAAAAAAAAAGTATAAAAATATGTAAGGTCCTATTTTTCTATCTCAATAAGTTAAGGGATCATGTTAGCTATTTCACTAAATGCAATATTCTTTTCAAGGAGATTCATTTTGAGCTAAAAATCTGATGCCTAAGATCAATTTCTGACATAAAAGAAAAAAAAAACATAGTTAATTTTTGTGTGAAAACTCTTAGGTTTTGTGCATGCATTGGAAACTTTACAACAGCAGATTAAGTTAGCAGTGTAGAGAGAAGCATATTGTACCCTATTAATAAACACCTCCCACATGCCCACGAGAAAGGAAGAGTAGTTAGAACCGAGCTAATAACCTTCTCGAGTTGGAACGTATCCTAGGAAAAGCTGTCTGTAAGAACCTCCACATTTCCCCTTGATTTGCCCTCTTAGGGAGGACCGTCCTCCCTTACACGGTGGCAAGCACAGCACGTTATTACAACACGGAAGATTCTTCTACCGAAGAACATAGGTGTGGCTTTATACCTTAGATAACTCACATTCTGCTCCAAATGTTTTGACAGCTACACGTGAGAGGCATTCTTAGACCCATCACGGAGCTGAGCAGAAGTCAGGTCTAGAGTGCGCTTGCAAGTCAGGCCTTGCACTCTATTCCTAGCACCAAAATAAAAATGAAAAGACCCAAAAAGCCTTGGAGTCAAGTGTTTGCGCAACCTTGTAACATTTGGCTTGCACTTCTATTAAAAAACTCTTTTCACACCTTGACTCCCAGTTTTTCATCTTCTGCCACAGTGTAAAAGACACCACGAAATACACGTGATCTTAATTAAAGAGCATTTATTTTTTGCCTTCTTTAGCTTGGGCAGTCTAAACTTCTTTTACCGGATCTGCTGGTGTAGCTGCTGCAACCCATCAGTGTGGGAACCGCAAGAAAATGTGGACTGTGTGCTTTTCGTCACTTAGTTCCCTTTAAGTACTGGTATAGGTTCAAATAAAAACCCTATAGCTTTCCCAACCAAACTTGATATGTGCTGTTATCTAATAATATATATACTACCGGAAACCTCTAATAATGTGGTTTCTTTGATGGTCCACCTACTTTGGGAGTATCTTCTCTGAAGGCATGCACGGCCTTAGCTTTTGACTTACCCGTTGTAGCTGACGAATGCCCAAGAATCTCTCTTCCTCTGCTTTCTCGGTGGAGCCATTCTTTTTCCTTTTCTCCAGAACTACAGCCCCCACCCCAAAAAGAATGAAATGTGTAGGCAGAGAAACATTCAGTATTTGTAGCAGTTACACGTATTTTGGAAAAACTGTAGATGTCTGTCCTCAGGCAGAGAAACCAGATACAGACCTTTTAGGGTTATCTGAACAAACGAATATACTATATTGCTTAAACATACAGAGAGTACCGCCTCATAGTTCCAGATGTGAGGAGTCTAAGAGCGAGTCTTTGTGGCAGTGCTGGTTTCCTCTGAGGCTGAGAGGGGAGCATGATGTCCAGACTTTTCTACTTGACTTGTATCTTCACATATTTATACAACACACACACTTGCTCTAGTCCACGTTAGACCTTACTCGCACACTGTAACTAAAAGACATAGCTTTCTGACTTGCAGTGCTACCACAGTGGAGAAAGCACAGCTTCCTGGCCCAGAATTCTCATCTCCCGACATTCACATAGTCTGCGATCTTTCACCACTTACCACTGCCAGTTTGGGGGAATATCATTATATTTCAAACTGTAAGCCAGGAAGGACTCTCTTATGGGTGAAGGCTGCTAGATAATATGGTAGCTCTGATACCACAAAGATGGCTTTCATAAGAACTTGTGAAAACCATCAGGGTTTAGGCAAATTCGAATACTTCTAGCTGTATTATAAATTGGCAGGATTGACCTTACACAGCTTTATCTGAAAAACCCAAGAAATTCAGTTTTGAATTTTACATCATCACTCAGGTTAAAACAGCAATTGATGTTCCTGAAATACCGTATATTTTACATAGTTTCATTGGAATGTGTCAACTCACATTAAAAATATTTAAACAGATTTCTACTATTTTTTAAAGCACACTGATAGTACTTTAAGTGTGAAATTTAAGTGGCGATAGCATGCTGCTTAATTTACATGGTTTATCAATTATTAATGGCTTGGATATTATATGGGAAGTATTAAATCTCTTCCACATAAACATGAAGAGGAAACTTTATTTTATTTTGCCTCCTAACAATGTTAATTTTGTGAGTGATAATTCATATGTGCCTTCTTTGTACAGTAACCTTAGTTGAATCCAACATTTTGGGGCAGGAGAAGGGAGAATTGTAGGAACTGGAGTTAATTCCAAAGATGTGAGAATTTAGGACTGAAATGAGAACAAAAAGTCCCCTAAGTCTGTGGAAATCCATGACTCACTTCTACATTAGCACATCCTATTAACTATTATTCCTTTTTTTCCCCACTTGTTTCATTCACAGCTTAATCACTGTGCCTTGACTTGTATTTTCTTCACTAAAACCTTGTTGTATTGGCTATTAGGAGCCTCATTTACAAAATGAAGGCTGAGAATTATATCACGAAGGAAGTAAGGGGGGAAATGGTTCTGAGTGCCCAGCAGTTCTGCTCCTCTCTGGGCTTCATGACAAAGCCCTCCTCAAACTCATGAGAACATCAAACAAGATCTTTTAACGTTATGCCAATATGCAAATGACTAGTCTGTCATAACATGCCAGAGGGCCCTGTATATCATAGGAGGGTAAAATCATTGAGACGGCCTTTAAGCATCTCATTGCCGCATTTATCCTTTACCTCTTGAATTTCTGAGCTTTTATAGTTCTGTAATCCCACAGCACAAACAAAGTCTCCGGATGAAACATCTAAGTGTTTGTTCTATGGAGGCAAGTAGTTTGAATTCTGCTCTTGATTCTTCTGTAAGTTAGTTCATTGGCTTTGAGAAATTCAGTCTTTCCAGATGCTGGTCCTGTGTGCTTCTGTGAGATCTGAATGAGATAATCCATGTGAAAGTGCGGTTGGTACTTCAAGACACACCTGGTGCTCACTCAGTGGGAGCTGAACACTTTTCAGACTGGATTTCCAAAGCTTTCCGAAAAGTGACTTCTCTGTCATTTATAGAATCCACATTTATTTAAATGTTGTGATAATCAAACCTAGGACCTTCTGCATGCTAGGCAAGCCTGCTATCTATCCTACAGGGATATTCTAGACATACATTCATATTTAACCCCAGGCTTGTAGATTAAATAGCTCAATGTCCAATTTCCAGTCTCCTAAAAAACACTTAGAACCAAAATGATAATATCTATGATGATACATTGTTTTTTTTATTTGTTGTAATTTTTCATGTTTCCTACAACTGTGTTGTAAATAAAGTATATACACACACACACACACACACACACAAATGGTGATTTTGTTTCTCTTTATTTTCTTTTCTTTAGAGACCGAGACCTAGAAAATTTAACTGAAGTAAGTTCTCACATATTTGAAGACAAGAATGGAAGGTAAGATTAATTGTAACTTGCTTTATTTCTTTTTTTAAAATTTAAATTGTTTTATTACAATTTTTCACTTTGTATCCCAGCTGTAGCCCCCTCTCTCATCACCTCCCAATCCCACCTTCCCTCCCTCTTCTTCTCCCATACCCCTCCCAAAGTCGAATGATAGAGGAGGTCCTCTTCCCCTTCTATCTGACCCTAGTTTATCAGGTCAGAACTAGCTGCACTGTCTTTCTCTGTGGCTTGATAGAAGAAAAAGTGCGGAAGAGCCTTGAAACTCATTGGCACAGGAGACAACTTCCTGTTGGAGAACACCAACCGCACAGGCTCTAAGATCAACAATCAATAAATGGGCCTCATGAAACTGAAAAGCTTCTGTAAAGCAAAAGACACTGTTGTCAGAATGAAACAACAGCCTACAGACTGGGGAAGGATCTTCACCAACCCTATATCTGACAGAGGGCTAATATCCAGATTATATAAAGAACTCAAGAAGTTAAACACCAACAAATCAAGTAATCCAATTAAAAAATGGGGTACAGAGCTAAACAGAGAATCCTCAATAGAGAAATATTGAATGGCAGAGAAACACTTAAAGAAATAAATGTTCAATGTCCTTAGCCATCAGGGAAATGAAAATCAAAACGACCCTGAGATTCCATCTTACACCCATCAGAATGGCTAATATCAAAAACTTAAGTGACAACACATGCTGGAGAGGATGTGGAGAAAGGGGAACCCTCCTTCATTGCTGGTGGGAATGTAAACTTGTACAATCACTTTGGAAATCAATCTGGCACTTTCTCAGACAATTAGGAATAGCGCTTCCTCAAGATCCAGTTATACCACTCCTCGGCGTATATCGCTTTATTTCTTAGGAATTCTATATGTGACTGGATAAATGCTCAGAAGATTTTTCTGGGGAGTTGAATTGCTTTATGAAATTTAAATATAAGTACTATTTGAATAAAAAAGTTACAGCATTATAATATATAGTACAGAAAAATTGAAAATGTTCTAATTGTGTTAGAATTTCTCCTTCCTGTTGCTCAGTCCTGTTACTTGGTATAAAAGGTGTCATGAAAATTCAAAGCCTTTTACTTGGGTTGCAAGAATTTATTTTTACTCACTGTTGCTTGGTAGGTTTTCAGTGGTGAAGGAAGTACCCAGTACTTTCTTTCTTGTATATCTCTTGTTCAAAAGCACACAGAAATCTCTCCTAGCTACAAAGCAAAATCTCACTTTGAAATTTATTTGTACAACAGAGTTTAAGTGTGTTAAAACTATGAGTGACTGTTAATATCTTGTTTGGTATTAAGATACACATTAGGATAGAAGCTATACCTTATTGCTACACATAACTTCAGTGAGGGAGGATCTGATAACCTCTTCATGTGTAACACTGATCCTACCCATGTATGAAGGACTCAAAAAAAAAAAAAACCAACCCATTTCCTTTCTTAATCTTCCCAAGATGCCTCTGCCTTATAAATTCTAAGAAAGTACTAAATTTAAATATTCTTCACGAGGTCTGTGCTAAGTTTATTATTCTTGGAATGACATAACCTAATAATCATGCAAGAAAACCTTCTATGATAGTTTTGATTCCACCTTTTCACTACGTGCTATAGCCAAACTTTGGGCAGAGTGCAGGGAATCTTATGAAACAAGGGGGAGATAGTAAGACCTGGAGAGGACAGGAGCTCCACAAGGAGAGCAACAGAACCAAGAAATCTGGGCACAGGGGTCTTTTCTGAGACTGATACCCCAACCAAGGACCATGCATGGAGATAATCTAGAACCCCTGCACAGATGTAGCCCATGGCAGCTCAGTCTCCAAGTGGGTTCTCTAGTAATGGGAACAGGGACTGTCTCTGACATGAACTCAGTGGCTGGCTCTTTGATTACCTCCCTTTGAAGGAGAAACAATCTTACCAGGCCACAAAGGAAAACAATACAGCCAGTCCTGATGAGACCTGATAGGCTAGGGTCAGATGGAAGGGGAGGAAGACCTCCCCTATCAGTGGATTGGAGAAGGGCATGGGTGGAGATGAGGGAGGAAAGATGGGACTGGGAGATGAAGGAGGGGGCTAGAGCTGGGATACAAAGTGAATAAACTGTAATTAATAAAAATAAATAAATTTAAGAAACAAAGAAAATTTACTCACAAAACATCTTCCTTTCGGGTAAGAAGATTTTTAAATACAAACAAATGCAGAGTAATTTATTATGGATGAATACACAATATGTTAATTTTTGCATAATTATATGCATAATTCCCCACAAACTTTTATTGACATAGAAATATATATACACATTTAGAATCACATGAATGTAATAGCTTTAAATAGATGATGTTAGGGCCTGATGCATTTAAAATCAATACATCACATACCTTTGTAAAGTTTGAACAAAACAGAGAGAAAGGTTATTCTTTCTTCAATTCATAGTTTTATACTCAGAAAATTTAATGTATATTTAGCCAAGAATAATTTTTTTATAGTTTAAAAACTAAGATAGTTTCAGGTACTTTCCTATAATATTTTGATTTATTTTATTAGTTTCATTTTGTGTGTGTGTCAGAAATGATTGATTGACACGTTTTCCTCTTTAAAAGTTACATAGGATGAGATCAGCTAGATGGCTCAATCTATCAGATAGATGACACCCACGCTCAGTTAGCTCACAACTGTCTATTCCAGGTCCAGAGGGATTGCTTTCTCTGGCTTCTGTGGGCACCAGCACTCAAATGCACAAACTCACCCACAGGGAGCCTGTTTGAAAATAAGGCTTAATGAACATCTCAAGTCTGCTGTAGCTTTTCATGTCTTTGCCCCCAAAACTTACCAACCAAGAAGAAGAAAAATTGCTACTATTTCCACTACTTTTTCATTGAGAATTTCCTCTGTTCCAGGGGAGAAATGGAATGTGTTTATGTTCTGTTAAACATGATGACATTTTTAGATCAGCGGAAATCTAGGTCAGATCTCTCCAGTCTTCAAAGTGTTACCTTTCATTTAAAGCAAAACAGAAACTGAAATGTCTCAAAGCAACCTCTGGATCATTCTTTGCGATGGTGAATTCTGAAATATGTGGTACAAGGGGACCTTTCTAAAGGGCGCTGCTCTTGGGAAAACAACCGAGGAAACAATTTTCAGTGGATTTTATCCTTGATAAAAATACATTCTGTCATAGCGTTAGATAATTATAGCCGGTGTTTATGGATGATTATTGAAAGTAAGACAATGATTTCTGTGGAGCCAGCAAAGCAGACTACGTGTTTTGTATGTGTCCATGCAGGAACCAGGTAGATGTAAAGAAATACTGTCCACTGAGTGAAATTTTAATAAAGCAAAACCACTTATAAATGACCTTGATTTTGATTGTCAAACGCCTGTGTTTGCTCTTGCAGAATAGATGGCCAAGTCAATGGATTCACTAACACTCCATTCAAGGAATCCACAGGAACATCTGTCTATTCTTATGAAGCCAGGAACAGCCTCAGGTACTACAGACATTACAACGCCTATGACCACACTTACCCCTGTGTTTATTTGTTTACAGGCAAGCTAATTCTGTCTTTGGAGCATGGGAATTTCTATATGTAAATACCCTTCCATCAGAGTGTCGAGTCAGCAACTCAGTTATTGATGGGTTATACATAGAAGAATATAAAATGTAGTTGCTGCATTAAAGTCTACAGTTACACAAAATATGACTATGACATTGATGTCGACACTCTTCTTTTAGAGATTTATTTTATTTTCTGTTTGCACTTGAGTCCATATATGTGCACTACACATGTGCTGGAGCCCACAGAGTCCAGAAATTATCAGATCCCCTGGACCTGGAATAACAGGTGATTGGGAGCCCCCCAAGGTGGGTGCTGGGGATTGAACCTGGCTCCCCTGCAACAAGAAGTGTTCTCACCTATGAAAACTCCCCCCTGACTTAAGGGTATTCACCTCTTGAACTAGATCTGTCTATCATTAAATCTGGGGTTTGAATAGTCAATTAAAGTCCACTTTTAACTTAAGGTATGTGGGGAAACTTAGGGCTTAGGAATGAATGGGGCGTTAGGGAAACAGACGCTACAGTACAGGACATGGAGAGTTAAAATGATCTCCATTCTCTAAGACAAATTTCCTGAACCATCAGTTTTCACAATAATAATCCTAAAGTAGGACAAGACAGGGGATATTAATAATTAAATGGGAGAGGTGGCAAATTCTTCAGGAGTTGATTAATGATATGAGCATTTTCATTTGACCAGTTGGTTTAGAAGGAATATATGTATATAACTTTTTTTTTTGCATTAAATTGGAAAATAGTTTTGTTTTTATTGCCCTCAAAAGTGGCATTTCAACAGTAAGCTAACTGTTTTGTTTTTTTTTTTATAGCCCCAGTTCTGGGACCAGGAAGGCTGGGCCCAAGGACACCGTTGTCTATACAAGGACATACGTGGAGAACAGGTGATGGAAAAGTGCAGCAGATAGTTGACTTTTATAGCTATGAAGTGATCTGTGCCATGCAGGAGACAGTACCATTTCAGGGAGCGTTTTTCTCATGGAGAAGCTAGTTTAAGACTGTTGTAAGTTCTACACATCTAGTATCTTAAGTTGCTCCCAATATTTAGTTGATAAAGGACTTATAGTCATTGTGTGGACTCAAAGGTATTTCAAACAACTAATGAGTAACTCGTAAGATCGCCAACAAATGTTCTCAGGCAAATGTGTATGGCTGTGTGGCTGTAACAGTCTCTTAATTTGAGTCACCTTAATTCAAAGTCTCTACTCCCAATCTGACACAGAAAGTATATCTTCAGGTTGATACACCATGGCCTAAATTACAGAGAATCAATATCGCATATAACTGTTTGCTTGGAATGATGGATACTGAGAAAAGTGTCAACCAAGGTCATGGATTCACAACACATTTGGTTTCCAAGGAATATATTTTAAGAATGAGAATTGGCCAAATTATAGTGTAATATAATGTCAAAGTACACAAATGCAGACATGTGTGACATCTGTGAGTGATGACAGTCCCTATAGGCAGCTCAATGCCTCTGTGCGAAAACCCATGTGTCACTGACATATGCAACCTCTAAAGTGATTTTTCTCTTACTTCAAATCTCGCTCTGTGGTGGCTCCATTAGAGTAATTCCTACTATCTTTTAGTTAAGCTAAAAGATAAAACCTTTAAAAGAAAGTTAAAATAATAAGTAGTTATTGAACCCGGAAGAAGTTGGGACATAGATAAACAGCATGGATGATACACAGTAAAGACAAGAAATGAAACATCGGCAAGTAGCATAAAAGGAACAGACGCTTATTCCATACTTACAGGTACTCTGTTTTCACACATTGGCAACCCCTGGGATAGCACATCAATACATATTCCTTTCTAAAGAAGTGTCTCATTTAAACAGAGGCCACCAGCTGTCATATCAATCTTTAAGAAACAGTAAACTTCTAGAACTAAACACTTTCCCAGATTTTTTTACACATTGAATAGTTGATTACAAATTATTAACCATATTTATGCAAGTACTGAAACCAAAACATATTTGAGTTATTTAACCATATTGACTATGGTTTACTTTTGTAAACTACTATTGTTTATGTTATTTGAATATCTGTGTAAGCACATATAACCAGCAATTCTCATGTGGTTTCTGGGCTGGCTTCAGCAGTATCACTTCTGAACTTGACATAAGTGAAAATTACTTGGCCTCACCCCAGACCAGAAGAATCAGAAACTCAGCCATTTGGGGTCCCAGCTCTCTGTGTTTTAATAAACTTGACATGTTTCTGATGCAATCCTGTGTTTGAGAACTGTAACTATAAAAGACAATATGGTAGCATGTCAGACCAATAATCTGTAGGGTATTTTGAAAAGATGGATTTGCTACTGTTTGTTAATGTAACGTGACGGCGATGTCTCTCAAACATCTCCAGCTTTCTTGAAATCGACGCTGACAGCACAGTTGTAGTGCGCTGTCTCTGCAGTCAGGTTCAAGATTGAGTTATTGCTTGCCATTTACTAACGTAACAGCCTTGGCAAGGTACTCAAGGGCTTGTGTGAGAGAGAGAGAAAGTGTGTGTGTGTGTTGTGTGTGCACACTGGTGTTTTGATTTATTTTAGACTATATTACTTACTTAAATTACTTATCTGGCTAATTTCTGTAGTGCTGAGAATTGAATCCAGGGCTTTGTACAGACTGGGCCGATTCTTTACTGCTAAACTTTCTCTCCAGCCCTTCTATTTATTTTTTTGTTTTGAGACAGGATCTTGCCGGTTTGTCCAGGTTGGCTTTGAGCACAGTCTGTTGTCTTGTGATTTTCCTGCCTGTGCCTCTAGACAAACAGGCTTTATTTTAGAAAGTAAGCGAGGTAGAAGTACAGATCATGAAAAACAATGATGCCTTCATTGCTCACACTTAGACTAAGACTCTGTCTCAGCCTGTTCTGCTCCCCCCGGGGATGTGTTGACTTGCTCTGGCTTTTGCACCATCACTTCTTCTGACTGAAAGAATGAAAGGTGTAAGGCTATCACCTGGGTCTACGATGTCACAAATAATAAAATAACAGTAGTGGGTGAAGGAATATTTCCTTACCTGTGTGGAGGCAATTATATCAATATTAGGAGAAATGTTCTGATTTTCACATGTCCCTATGTTAATTTTTAGTAAATCGCCAAAGGATGGATATCAGGAAAATATCTCAGGAAAATATATACAAACTGTTTATTCAACTTCAGATAGGTGAGTATGATTGTATTTCCAACATAGGCATGAAGTGTACATCCACACACGTATATATGCAAACATACGCACACACCTTAATGTCTGTGAACATGTATGTATATTTCTCTTTTCCCCATCTTCTTTTGGTGATTGGTGGGTAGGTAGGAAACTGTTAGGAATATACACGAAGAGACCACAGTACAGTTTTGCACGCTTTTACCTGCTTCCTGGCTGCTGTCTGGTTTTTATGTATGTCATTTTAGAAGACCTTTTTTATGCCTTCCAAACTGCTTCCCTGGCCATCCTCTTTACTGCTGGTGATTCCGTGGAGTCCCCTGCCTGCTACATTACGAATACCTAGGCTTCATTGCTTGACTAGATCGCCCTCCACACTCCCTTCTTTCCAAAGGTAGCTGCATGGATTTATTGGGCCAATACATTCTGGATTCAACTCGATTGAGTAAGGACATACCTTATTTTTCGGTGTAACTTTAGCTTCTAATGCGGTGGTGGGCACAGTAAGTGATACTTGAAGGTTTGAACTCATATCCCACTTGCTAAAAGAAATGCAGTTAGAGTCATTATTTCTTGGATGGCATTCCCTGTCCATGGCCTCCCCAGTGCAAAGAGTGTCTCATGGGAAGAGACCATTTCTTCCTTTGTATTTCTGGCCCTTGATCTGGCCCTTGATTTCTGGTGCTTGTGGAATGAAATGATGATATATAAATGTAATTTTCTGCTTTCGGTGTGCTCTGGTCTTAAATGGGAAGATATATATGTATATGCAAGTAGTTGTATCGTAAATTAAAAGTTGCAAATATTTATAAATATATGTAAGCCACTATGTAATTTGCACATATATATGAATCATTGTGTAATTTACATATATATAAAGTTTTATATACCTATATGTTTGTATCTAGTGATTAGAATGATTGAAAATGTAAAACCAGTCAGTTTATCTACTCTTATTATTATTATTATTATTATTATTATTATTAATTACACTTTATTCATTTTGTATCCCCCCATAAGCCCCTCCCTCCTCCCCTCCCGATCCCACCCTACCTCCCCTTTCTTCATGCATGCCCCTCCCCAAGTCCACTAATAGGGGAGGTCCTCCTCTCCTTCCTTCTGATCTTAGTCTATCAGATCACATCAGGAATGGCTGCATTATCTTCTTCTGTGGCCTGGTAAGGCTGCTCCCCCCTCAGGGGGAGGTGATCAAAGAGCAGGCCAATCAGTTTATGTCAGAGGCAGTCCCTCTTCCCATCACTATGTAACCCACTTGGACACTGAACTGCCATGGGCTACATCTGTGCAGGGGTTCTAGGTTATCTCCATGAATAGTCCTTGGTTGGAGTATGAGTCTTTGGGAAGTTCCCTGTGTTCAAATTGTCTTGTTCTGTTGCTCTCCTTGTGGAGTTCCTGTCCTCTCCATCTCTTGCTATTTCCCACTTCTTACATAAAATTCCATTCACTCTGCCCACCAGTTGGCCATCAGGCTCAGCATCTGATTTGAGAGACTGCAGGGCAGAGGCTTTCAGATGCCCTCTCTGGCAGGTTCCTAGGTTGTTTCCTGTTTTCTTCTTCTGGCTTTCAGAGGCCCTCTGTAGCAGGTTCCTAGGTTGTTTCCTGTTTTCTTCTTCTTCTTCTGATGTCCATCCTCTTTGCCTTTCAGGATGGGGATTGAGCATTTTAGTTAGGGTCCTCTCTTTTGCTTAGTTTGTTTAGATGTACCGATTTTAGTGGGTTTACCCTATGTTGTATGTTTATATGAGTGAGTATATACCGTGTGTGTCTTTTTGCTTCTGGGACAACTCACTCAGGATGATCCTTTCCAGGTCCCACCATTTACCTGCAAATTTCATGATTTCCTTATTTTTCTTAACGCTTTTCCTCTTTTACTTTCTCTTTCCCTCAATCCCCTTATTCTCTGTTTGGATTCATTTTTTAATTTTTTTTATTAATTACAATTTATTCATTTTGTATCCCAGCTGTAGCCCTCTCCCTCATCCTCTCCCAATCCCACCCTTCCTCCCTCTCCTCCATCCATGCCCCTCCCCAAGACCACTGATAGGGGAGGACCTCCTCCCCTTCCATCTGACCCTAGCTATTAGGTCTCATCAGGACTGGCTGTATTATCTTCTGTGGCCTGGTAAAGCTGTTCCCCACTCAGGAGGAGGTGATCAAAAGCAGCCACTGAGTTCATGTCAGAGACAGTCCCTGTTCCCCTTACTAGGAAACCCACTTGGAGACTGAGCTGCCATGGCTACATCTGTGCAGGGGTTCTAGATTATCTCCATGCATGGTCCTTGGTTGGGGTATCAGTCTCAGAAAAGACCCCTGTGCCCAGATTTCTTGGTTCTGTTGCTCTTCTTGTAGAGCTCCTGTCCTCTCCAGGTCTTACTATTTCCCCCTTCTTTCCTAAGATTCCCTACACTCTGCTCAAAGTTTGGCTATGAGTCTCAGCATCTGCTTCAATACCCTGCTGGGTAGAGTCTTTCAGACAACCTCTGTGGTAGGCTCCTGTCCTGTTCCCTGTCTTCTCCCTCTTCGATGTCAATCCCATTGCCTTTCTGAATGAGGATTGATCATCTTATCCAGGGTCCTGCTCAGCAATTTAAAACAAGGAAATCATGAAAGTTGCAGGCAAATTGTGGGAACTAGAAAAGATCATCCTGAGTGAGGTAACCCAGAAGTAGAAAGACACACATGGTATATACTCACTTATAGGTGGACATTAGTCATATGATATAGGATAAACATACTAAAATCTGTACACCTAAAAAGAAGCTAAGCAAGAAGGAGGCCCCTGGGTAAGCTGATGTGCTTGGATTCTTGAAGGGGTGGTAGAGGAGTGGTGCACATGACTAGCTCCCTTAAACCCTGGGCCAGGGACTTTGGGCCAGACTGCTTCATTCAGACCTCCTCAGTGGATGCCCGAGGATGGCAGTTCCCTCGCTGTTCTGTGTCTCTGTTCTCTTTTCTATAAAGTCAGTCATGAGATAACCGGCCTGACTTCTCAGGACGAACTGAGCTGCTGAAGGAAAGCACACGGACACATCATACTTCACATGAGTGTTCTATAGCGTATGGTATGCATGCACAGTCAGAACCATCTGAACAGTTCTCTTGGTAGGGTGACAAGCGTTAGTGTACAGGGATGCAGCTCACCACAAAATTAATTTATGCAGGTACGACATAAGTATTGGCTATTTTTATTTCATTACCTTATCATGTTTGCTGCTCTAGAAACTCTGGACCCATGTGCTAATAATGCCTCAAAACCAGTAAAATCTACAGGGAGTGGTTTAAGACAATTCTAAGACCTTTCAAAAGGAAATAGGCCTTACTTAAGGTTCTGACATGATTTAAGATTTTTGGCTCTTGTTGACCATATCTGTAGTTCATTTGTTGTAGAATATTAAGTTTCTGAATAAGTAAGGAAAACTACTTTTTCCTCATCAAATTTGGCAGGGCCATCCCTTCCTTTAGAGAAGAAGTTAATTTTGGCGGGATCTGCACCCTTGACTCCCGCTTCTTTCCACAACACCAAGAGACTCTAACTGTATGGACTCATCATTTATGAGTTTATAAACACTCCTGAGTGGATTTCTATTTTGAGCTTATTGAATGTTTTCAGAATTAAAAATTTTCATTAACCTGCCGCACAATTTCCCTGTGTAGTGTAGAGAGTGATGTATGTAAATTAATGAAAATGCTCTTCTAGCTTCAAGGGAAACTGAGACTCTTTTCCTGCTCAGACATGCTCTGGTTTTCTGGTAAATTAAAACCTGAGACATTTCCCTTGTGTTGTTTCCTTGACATCGTTAGAGACTTAATCCTATTATGAGGATGAATAAACAGCACGTTTTTAGATGCTAGGGCAATTCCTACAGCTCCGTCAGGATCACCATGCTCCCACGTGACTTTGAAGGCACACGCTTGTCCCTACATGATGGCAAATTTTAAATGGTTTGTAATTCTTATGTCACCACAGGTCTGTCATTGAAAGAGATATGTGCACTTACTGCCGCAAGCCCTTGGGGGCAGAAACCAAAATGATTTTAGATGAATTACAAATCTGCTGCCATTCTACTTGCTTCAAGGTAAACCCATGCTTATTTCATGCTGCTGAGTATTAAGGTTGTACAACAAGAAAAATGCATCTGTTGAAATGCTTGGAATGAAGTCAAGGCTCCAAGCACCCTGCGGTCCACATTACGCTGCTCAAGTGTCCCTCCATGTTCTGCAGCTCCACTCTCAAAGGTCTATGAGTACTGCCTTGGCTTCAGGCTTAGAATTCATTCGCATGCATCTCTCGGGAGACTTAAGTCTGTGCAAAAGAGAAACACCTGTTCATTCTTAAGTTTCTGCCACATTTTAATAAACAATGCATTGCGTCATATGTGTAATAAAATCACACACGGACAATAGACTGTTGAGAATAAAGCCAGCGGCTGTCCTGTCATGAGGTCAGGTCTTCACAATGGTTTAAACTCTGCCTGCCATTGAGACCGTGGTTAAGCGTGGCTTACTATGTAAAAGAGACATTCGCTAGCAAAGGCTTCCAAGTGTTAATGAGCTCTTTTTCCTCACCTTGTCTTGTGTCGGTCCTTGCACCTCTCAGTGCAATAGCCTGAGCACTGCACTGGGGTCTGAGGATCTCAGTTTGGCGTCTGCCCTTCAGTATGGTGGCCATGTGGCTTTGGGCAATCAGTTAAGTGACAACAGCCTCTGTTTCCGTAGCTAGAAAACAGATCATTGGCTGGGCTGTGGCTCCCAACACTGGTTGCAAGTTATAATCATAAGAATTGATGAAGGGAAAAAAAAAATCCTTAGAATACTGGGACAGAAAATTTAAGATTTCAGAGATTATTTTTGTACATTGGTAGTATTCAAAGCTCCTTAGATTTATCTAATGTGCATCCAATTTCAAAATCACTTGCCTAAGTTTAAGTCTTCTCTAGTGGTCGCATGCTATGCTTGAGGCAAATTATTCATTTTAGCCAAATAAATGTACCGCTTTGTCCATTGATTGCTTTGGTGCATTATTTCGACTATAAAACCACATATCTAGGCTTGCAGGATGGGTCAGCCTGTTCACTCAACTGCAGCCAATCTGATGATACGAGTTTGATCCTTAGAACCCACATTCTGGAAGGAAAAAAAAAAACCTAATTCCCACAAGTTTTTCTCTGTCTCTTGAGTCTCATGGCATATATATTTATGAATATCCAGTAAATAAACAAATATAAAAAACAAACTAAACCAACACCCAGTACAGGATTATAAAAATATGATCTGAAAATTAAACAATTGCTTGATTTTTAAGATGAAAGTATTTCTAGTTGCATAATATGCTCCCCTAAATAAAAGCGTATACGTACATAAAATCTTCTAAAATAGGCATTCTCATGATTATTGCTTTGGTAAATTGAAATAAATTTCATTTATATTTTAAGTGAGTCATTTCCATTTTGAAGCATTAGAGGCTCTAACAGAACAAAAATGTTCCTTGTGCTCATAGAAAAAGACAAATTGTTCTACAGCCGTGAGAACGGAGAACTACTTAAACTAGTTTTAAATGTTTAATAAATGAATCAAAGACCAATTGCTTTAGTGATTTATCTTGAAAACCAACCAGTATTTTGAAAGCTGGGCAATCACCATTCAGCACCAACGTCTAAAAACAACAACAACAACAACAAAACCAGAAGGCAACTCTTGCCTGCTTCTGTAACCAGCACACTCCTAACACCCCAAACCCATCCCGCTATGATCAGCAGCTTGTTTGGTTCAGCAGGTTCGCACAGCTCTGCCTTGTGGAAGCAAATGAGAAATACAAACCTGTGGTTTTGTTTGAGACAGTGGGTGGATATCCTGTCCTTGGCGTAGCCAATTTGCAAAAAAAAAAAAAAAAAAAAAAAAAATTCTATCTGTTCGGTCGTGAGTTGCATAGAAAACCTCCGTGGGGGCGCGTCCCTGCACGGCACCTGCCTGCCACAAGGTGCTGTAGAAACTTCTGTGAACTTAGGGCTGTGGTAAGAGGCCAGTGCGCTCATTTCCTCCGTGGTTCCTCTTCAGGGCTGACTGCGACTTTCTAAGAGGGCTGGTCTTGGAAGAACTGAAAGTTTTCTGTCCCTTCTCCCCTGAGGATGCATTTTCAGTTTGTAATATAAACTTGTTTTCTTTAGTGTGAAATATGCAAACGGCCTTTGGAAAATTTGCAAGCAGGTGACAGTATTTGGATTTATCGGCAGACCATTCACTGTGAGCCTTGCTACTCTAAAGTGATGGGTGAGTGTTACAACCTGTGAGCAGAGCCATTCTTACTAACTCTGGCGACTATCTAGTGTTGCTAAATATGAGGTATTTCAATAAAAGTCAATACTTTATTAATTACAACTAATGAAAAATAAGCAGGCTAAACTGTGGAAGTATTTGGTTTAATGATATAAACCCATCAATATTTATACTTTTTTTTCGTATGTGGAAAGTTTTCCAGTTTGTGAAAAAGAAATATTTTTTTTTCTGATTTATTAAATGATTATTTAAGTTGAATAATTTCTGTGGATGCTTTTTTTGTACTTTAACTTGGAAATACATTTAAATACAGTCTGGTAATTACAGTCAATGCCTTTTAATGTTACTTTTACCTGAAATAGTTAATTTTATATAATTTTATGTTAAATATAACATTTAAAGTTTTGAGGTTTTTTTTTTTTAACAATGCAAGACCAAATGTTTCTATAATTTGGACTCTTAATTAGCATCAGTAAAGAGAAAGCAAGATGTTATGGGCATGCATTTTTAACTAAACATGAGAAATTTAAGTGCTGATGTAAAACACTTGAAGCATATGTCTGAACATAAAGTCCTATGCCATTTAACTGATTATTACAAGAGAGTATGGTCAGTTTATTTTTAGATTCAACAGTAAGTACAACAAAGAGAAACAAATTGCTATTGAGGGCAAGGTCCATAGTCAAAATGTTCAGAGGGCCTCTATTCCTGATGACTTCGGTGTAGTGAATGGAACTATTTGGGATTCATCCATTGGATCAAAAGTACAGAACTTAATGGCAAATGTATGAGCTTAATGAGCTACCGGAGTGGCTACATCTGGAAAAACATCCATAAACCCGCATTCCATCAGGCTTCAGAATAAAAAAAAAACAAAAAACAAAAAAAAACCCAGCCTAATTGTATTTGTACTTTGTCTTCTGCTTTCTCCAGATTGTTTCTCATATTAATATTTCTTTGTAAGCTTGCAGCCCTAACCAATCTAACATTCTATCCCAATTCTGGGTGTCCATGGGGTAATTTTAAAACTTTTACTCCTAAGAGTCCCTGACATGACTTAGGAGTGTGCTCAGCAAAGAGTCACTGGCCTTCATGTCTCCCTGTCTACTTACGTGCCCTCCATAATAACACTCTAAAAGGTCATACTCATAAGCCATGACTCCCACTTGTTCTTCAATATGTACACACAGTGAGTGGCGCTTCATGCTTCACCAAAGCCGAAGTGAGGAATCCAGGCCTAGAAGAAATGGTGGAATGCTTAAGCCAGCATGGTTTTCTGGGAGAATGATTGTTTTTTTTATGTTAATTTTGGGTTTCATTTTCATATTGATTTATGTGTCTACCTTTGTTTTTAAATTTTCAGCAAAATGGATTCAATAATGCTTACATGTGGAAATGAAGAGGAAAGCCTTCATTAAAGAAGTTAAAGCTACATTTTAAGAATATGTAATCTAAGAAAGAGTTACATTGAAGATTATCTCTTATATCAAAATAACATTTTTGTTGTTGCACAAATAATCTCATTACTTTGAATAAGGTCACATACATGAAAAGAACCATCTGGTATCTGGCAAAATTTAGTGATAAAAGGTCCACATAATTCTAGTCACCAAAGCAAATGGCAGTAAGAATTGTCAACCCTAATGAAGCCATCCCTGCTCCATTTTTGGCTGCTCATCATGGTTTCCATTATAATCGAGTTTTTCATCTTCTCACCTATCTTCCCTTAGAATTAGAGCATTATTGACACCCTGACATATAGGCTGCTGGAAGGAAGATATCCTTTTTTCTACAAAAGAAAATGTGCCTAGAAATTTTTCTATAAAGTTTTGCAGCAAGATGTCAACATTAGAAGTTGTTTGGACCATAGAAAATAACTTAAAGTTCTCAGTCTTCTGTGACACCACAGACATGAGACAAAATAATTTCTAAGGTTCCCCCTCTGCTCTTCTCATCCTCTGATTCTGAAAGAAAATTGAGTTTCCTGTTTAGAAATATGTTGGCATGTTTGTTAGCTATATTGGGACTTATAAGCAATTCCACCTAAGTGTCATCCTTCAGTTTCTCACAAGCATAGCTTTTATAGACTATTCATAAAACTGAAATAAATATCTCTATGGGTGATAAGTAAACTCATGTGACATGTGTAATTTGTTAAACTTTCTTTGCATGCATTTCAAAATCTGGGTGTACAAATAATATGAGCAGTAATAGCTATGGATTACAAACGTGTTATGTATGTTCGTGTTATAGTTTATGCTTGCAGAAGGCTTAGAATAATAAAATTAGCTGTCAATTTCTGTAATGTTTGTATATCATACAGTTTTTATTTGGAAAAAGTTCCTTTGCTAAAGAATTAGAAATTCAATAATCATACAAGAAATCATTATTAGTGCTTACATAGAAAAATTAAACGTAGAAAGTATGTGATAGGCACGTGGCAACTGTTTCTTAAAGAAAGAATGACTGGAATGTTCTGGGACAGTCAAATTCCCGGGCACTTGTAAGCAGTTATGAGAAAACAAACAAGGGAAATTAAAAGATGACTGCATGATTTGCAACGTGATAAATTTAAATAATTATTCTCCAGTGTAATAAGTCTATGCATCTGCTCCTCTTAGACACTGGTCCACAAAGTGTTAAACACGAAATGCTTATCAAAATTCAGCAGTGTATAATTGTCCTGTAGGGAGGGAGCCAGAAAAAAACAATTAATAATAATTTGATATTCATTAATTCATGCTTGATGAGAAGCAGTGGTAATTGAGCCATATGTTTTATTGTTCTTTTATTACATGCTATCAGAGTGGATCAAAAGAAATAATTTTCTTAGAGTTGAAATTGACTGCAGAAAGCAAGGATTAAATCGCCCTCGTCTGTCTTAAAAGTACATTAGCATTTCAATGGCTTTGTAGTAATTAAAATCATGTGAATATCATTTAAAAATATAAAAATCTGAAGAGAACTCACTTCTCACTTTTCTATAGCCGTTTTATGGACACTTTCTTGTACAATAATGTATTAAAGCAAGCCATAAGCTGTTGGAGAAACAGTATACACATATCAGACAGACAAAGGTTTCTGATTCTTTAAGACTACTCCATTATGTCTGAGCATTTTCTCACTATTGAAACGACAGGTTCTTTTTAACAATTTGGAAGATTTCATTATTTTTGCCATCAATTAATTGTGATATAATTGGCACACTGCTCCTGAACAAGATTACCAAATCACCAATACCATATCATGAATTCTGATGTAGTTTTTTTGTTCATTTTTTGTTTTTGTTTTTCTAGACAGTTTTTCTGTGTAGCCTTGGCTGTCCTGGATTCCTTTTGTAGACCATACAATCCTCGAACTCAGGGAGAACTGCCTACCTCTGCCTCTCTGAATGCTGGTATTATAGGCATGTGCCACAGTGCCTGGCTCTGATGTAAAATTTTAAAAAGTCTCCATAAGAGAAATAATAGTTTGATAAGACAGTTTCCTTTGTGAATGGTGTGCAGATGTGATGTATGTGAAATTACATATTTGTGTGCAAGTTTGTGGAGGTTAGGGATAGTTGATTCTTGCTCAAGTTATTTCCCTCCCCTTTTCTGAGTCACGATCTCTCTTTGAATCTGGAGCTCGCTGATTCTTCTTAGCTATCCAGCCACCTTCAGGTACGGTCCCATCTCCTTCCCCACCATACACTCTTGCAGGCATAAGCCACCATGCCTAGATTTCATAGGAAGTGCTGGGCACCAGACCTGGATTCTCCTTCCTGTGTGGTGAACACTACATTGTTCATCCCTTCCATCACTAAATACCCCAGACTGACCAAAGCCATGCCCTCAAACCCACAGCAGTATCCTTTTATAATTGAAAAGTACAAGAAGGGCTATTATTTCAGAACAGACTTTGTTAACAGAGCATGCGCTTTTAAAGGAAGGTCAAGAAAGAAGAGCTGATTCAATACATCCTAAAGTATTTGGCTGCAATTGCTCCTTGGATCTGAGTAGTAAGACAGTCCAGCTCCCACTGCTGGTGACTTGCTGATTTGTTTACTCTGATGGAAAGTTGTGAGCATTTGGAACAATGTCCTGTTCAGCTGGATTCAGAGCTCCAGCCAAACAAGACTGACTTGCAGTTGCCAATACAATTGTTTTGGTTCAGCGTAAATACATTGATTTGTACAGTTCTACCTGTCTTACAGGAGTCGGTAATTTCCTTAGAGGCACCCATAAACAACCCTCTTAAATTGTTTGACATTCAGCTTTAGAATATTGATTCTCTAATGCACCAGGAGCTCAAGCATTCCAGAGATTACTAATCTGCTTCTACTGCTCACCTTATCTGCATATGATCTATTTCGTTACTTACCTTTCGGTCACTGACTGCTTCATTTGTACTTAGAATTTTATTTGAACTATTCACAATGCAAAAGTTGGGCAGCAACTAGGGTGGTGTTACCATCCCAACACTTGTGTGGTTGGGTAGAAGACTTCTAAATCGAAAGCCAGCCTGGATGACGTCGTGAGACCCTTTCTCAAAGGGGAGAGCATAGAGCAGGCACGATTCCTTGGATCTTTGACCTGTCATTTGGTAAGTGTGGCTTCTGGGAAATGGTTCTCCAGTAGGAAAGTGCACAAGGTAAGAATGATTTTTTTTTTTTTCAAGTGTAAAAAAGAATCCATAGTTTCTAACCTATCATCATTCATTCATTCAATTACTAAACAGCTCTGGCCTTTTCTTTGACAGTCTGTGTTGTGTGATTTTTCTTGAGGAGACATGAGTACACACTTACTCACCCTGGCACTAACCCTTAAGGTTAAATCTGGAGCCGCAACAATCAAAACATGTCAGGTTCACCTGCATGTCCTCAGCTGTCTAGTTAACTAGACTAAAAAATGGTGAAATGAAGACACTTATACAATGCTCCTCCAGTGGGAAGAGGGACAAACAGAGGTATCTAGGAACCCTCCTGGCCTAGGCCATCTTCTCCCAGTCTGTCCTAACCAGGAGCTCAGACAGTGTAGACATTGCGAAATTTCTTCCCAAAAGGCAAAGTATGCTTCTGGTTGGCATCAGGCTTTAGCATTTTTGGCGATCTCAATTCCGTGGGGACCATTGTTTGAATAGCCTGATAACCAGAGTGAGGGACACAAGTGTCTCTTTTTAGAATCCTTTGTTCCTGCCAGGAAGGTTACAAACCCAGACAGGGTACCTGTCCCACACGCGTCTAGCTTGGTGAACCTGTGAGAACTCTGGTTGCTTTCAGGAATGTGAGCAGCTCAGTGACAGCTGTGTTGCTGCCCAGCCAGTGTGGACATCATCTCCAGAGCTCCCGCAGGACCTGCAGGCAGGGCTCATTGTAAAGCCCCTGTCCCTGCAACTGCTTATTGTCTGTAGAACCTTAGCGAGGCCTCTGGTGAATCTTGTAGCTTTCTGAGCTTCCCCAGCTTTCTCAGTTTTGGTTGGAGGAAATGGCTACTCAACAGCCTTGGTGCTGAACAAAACAGCCAAGGTCCCTGATCTCACTGAAGGGAACTTCCATTCTGTAGGGGGAAAGGAAGTGGAGGAGCAATTTGAAAGAGAGAGAGAGAGAGAGAGAGAGAGAGAGAGAGAGAGAGAGAAAACCCACAGTCATAAACCCAAGCAGGATATGAAGCATGCTGACTGTGTGAATAGGGTAGTTTTGCACATAATGTGGCAGGAGGGGGAAGGGCAATTTCAAATAAGACCTGATTCTAGGCAGTAACCGCCATGGGAAAAGCTTGGGTGAGGCATTCTCTTGGATTTGGCAACAAACAGAGATCATTCTAGGTAAGTCTAACTTTGCTTCTTTTCAACAGAATGGGACAGAAATTCAAGTGCTACCAGACAAGGATGTGAAAAGATTTTGAAGTTTTGTTTAGTTCCCATATAAAGCAATATTCAAATGTGACTCTGGCCAGCTTTCTGTTTTCTGCTAAGTATTCTTAGTCTGGAGCCTTAGGATGAAGTTTCTCGCTAGGTAGAGGAGCTCTCTCAGCAAGTGTAAGGGACTCTCTGGTGACGGGCAGGTGGGACCCGGGTCCCATCTGGAACAGGAACAAAGAACAATGTGGTTCTCCCTCGCCTCGTGTGAAGCACCAGAAGTCTTGTCTATTAAGCTTTTTTCAAGCGAAAACATCAAACCGAAAAGGATCGCCATTCCCAATGGAGGAGAGACTTCCCACTGGAATTTTATCAGCTGCACATGTTCTTTTCCCTTGTTGCAATGTGAAATCATATCTGGCAAAAGAAACATCGAGAACCCGATATACCTCTCTCGACAATCACAGTTTGTTAATGTTGTTTTTTCCCAAGTGAAATGGGAAAAAATCTCTGGTGTGAGGGTCTTTCCGGCTCTTGATAGAGCACCATAGTGGGATTAAAGATTTCCCATGACACAGTATCTGAGCAACCTTGATATTCTACAATGGAAGATGACCAAGAACCTGGGTTTAGTGTTCAAGAAGTCAGCAAGACACAGATCATATTCTTAAAATATGCACTAAGCTCAGGTTGTATTAAATACAATTCATAGTTGACCATTAGTATGACCTAAGCTTGGGCCAACACCACAAACCCAAAAGGATTTATACTTGCTAACTTCCATGCTGCCAAGCTGAAACCAAAGTATTCAGTTGATTTTCAAAAGAACATACAAAACAACAACAACATAAAAGAACAGGAGAGATAATAGACAAGTCAGGCCATTTTTTTAGACGGTATGATATGGCGGTCCTTTCTGCATTGGAGTTTACAAAGAATCTAATTTTGAAACAACACAACTCATTTTGTTCTCTGTTTTTGCTCTCTCAGCCCTTTCTGCTTCCATATTTAACCTCCAGTTAGTTCGTAAGAAACTCCTCTGTTTGGTAGGATGTGGTATTTATTGGCAGTGCCTACAGTAACAACTAATACTAATAAAGGCCTTTAAATGCGTTTCATTTTGTGCTTTGACATTTGTACCTTTCCAGTGTGTGCCATTGAAATGTTAATTGCATTTATGAACAGGTCTCAGTCATATCGAGACAAATATGGTCAGCGATCTCATGTCCACACATTTTACAAGTGTGCAGAGACCGACTCATTGACCTAGGTGTGAAAAATGAAAAACTATAAA